CTGCAATGGAATGCCGACGGAATCCGACCTTCCATTGCAGAATTGCAACATTTACAGGCCACACTGTGCCCACGGGTGGCCTGTATTCAAGAAACAAAATTGGCCCCGGTTCACCATAGACTTAAGAGGATTTACTGCGTACCATCACATTCACACGGAGAACCTGATTGCCTCCAGTGGTACCACCATCTACACCGACTACAACAGACAAGTACATCTTAAGACGACACTCCTGGCTATTGTCGTACGGGTCACCCTGCACAGACCAATCACGATCTGTTCAGTTGTCCCACCCAATTGCCCCCCTCAAAATAACCCAACTAAATGACTTGAAGGCTCAGCTTCCATAACCCTTTATTTTGCTAGGTGATTTCAATGCCCACAGCCCCCTTTGGGGAGACAAACCTACAGACAAGAAAGGAAAAATAATAGAAAACTTTTTATTTCAAAATAACATCTGTCTCTTAAATGATAAATTCTCAACTTACAGAAACAGAGCCACTTATGGCACTTCATCCTTTGACCTAACCTTTTGTACCAGATCTTGAGTGGTCTGTGCTGGATGACCGTACAGACCATTTCCCAATTCTTCTCCAAAACAATAGCCTCCAAAACGACCCGATCCCAACTTTCAAAAAAGCAGACTGGGACGGGTTTGCCAATCATTGTTTCCAGATTCTTAATCCCAATTTCGACCTCAACTACAATAAATTCCACAAAAAGCTTTCAGAAATATGCCACAAACACATACCAATAACAAACACAAAACCCCGGAGGAGCAAGATCTGGTTCTCTTGGGAGTGTGAGGATGCAGAAAAGAAAAAGAAGGCAGCGTATCGAAAGGCCGTCAACAACACCACCATACAAAACAAGATCAATTATTTAAAGCTGTGGCACGTAAATGCCTCAGGGAGAGCAAAAGACAATCATTCCAAAAATACATCTCCAAAATCAACATACTCAACCAAGTTTTCAAAATTGCTGAAAAATTCTTAGGTAGACGAACAGACACCATTCGGCACGTCCAGAGGCTGGATGGAGCCACAGCT